GGCGCCGATAACGACATTCCAACGCATGACGTCGGAATGTTGTAGTACCAATCTACGTTAGCAGACCTATAGTACAACTGTCGCAGTTACCAAAGATAATAACTCAATAGATGAAATTTAATCTATTCTGTGATAATAATGTTATGTATAATATTATACAATATGACCGTCAGTGGCGGACTGAACTTAAATTTTAAATGACGCAATTTCATATTTTAGTATATACAACCACCACCACCTCCTAATCAGGGACGTGCCTAGATCGAATTTTTGGTGGGGGTTTAACCAGCCCGCCGATTCTGACTTGAATATAATGTCAAGGCTCACAAATCTGGGGGGCAGTTCTTCTCCCCTCAGTTTTCAAATTTACTCGTATTATGATACAAATATTACACTTTCTTAAATTCTATGTATTAGGTTTAAAGTAAATATTTGGCAAGTTTTTAAGTGGTCAATAAGCATATGAGTTTGAAATTAAATCTATTGTGTAAGTACATTACATATATACATACAAATATACAATGCTATTCTCTATAAAAAAAAATAAAAAATATCACAATAAAAACTATACAAAAAAATAAACAAATTAATTAAGAACTTTATTAACAAGTCACAACAATGACRATAACAGAMATTTTTAATGACAAACTTCAAATGTAGTATTATTTAAAAGTTAATGCATTTTTTAAGAGATCTGAAGACTGTGAAAATTTATCAATAACAATATTTATATCTATTGGAATATCTCTTTCGCAACYCAGAAGTAAGAGACTCTCTAATCTACCTTGCCCCATTGTTGATCTTAGTCTTGTTTTAATCAATTTCACCTAGAATTTCATGTTTAGAATTTATAAAATATTTTTTTTTTATTATGTATTACTAATTTATAAAGACAATATACTTAATTACTACCTTTGAAAAAGATCTTTCGGCTGATGCAGATGATGCTGGAATTGTTGCCAGAGCTCTATACGCAACGTGCACATTAGGAAAGGCTGAGTCAAGTCCATACTWTGTCAATAATTGAATTATAGTTGTAATAGTTACATTTTTATTCAAATCAATATTTTCATCCATGATATTCAAATTTCCGTCATCACTTGAACAATCATCATTCTCAGTATTTTGTACTTTGCTAGTGTCGTCGTGAATCTCAGTAGGTAATTCTAATCCATT